CTTCAATAATTGGTTCAGAGACAATTGGCCATCCATATGGAAAAGATAAAGTAGATCCCTATCTCACAGCAGGCCTCCAAATAAGTTCCAGATGACCTATAAATAAAGACACACAGGGGACAAGCAAAGTTGTTACAGAGCCTGTAGAAGAACACACAGGGTAGCTCTATGACATTGAGATGGAGAAGGTTTCTTTTTTAAAAAAATTATTTATCATTATTATTATTGTTTTAGTTTGCTGCAGGACACTTGTGCGACAGAGAGAGCAACCCATAAAGTCTAAGACTTGGACCACATGACCATGTGGGAGTCCAGCACCTTAACCATCAGACCACCTGCTGGCCCCAGCAGGGGAGCTTTCTTTAACAAAGTAAAAGGTGAAAAAAGGGTTCAATGGTGGCTCATTGGTAAAACATGACATTCTGACAAGCTGCCCCACATGGGAAGGTTCTGGATTTTCATCTGAAGACTTCCCTGAGTACTCTGGGCTTGTATATGATTGGAACTGGCTTCAGCTGGGAGTGGAATGAAGTGTAGCGATCTTATCAGAGTTGCTATCTCTCTTGCTCATGGAAGAAATAAACCTTAAACATAGTCATGCTTGGGGCCAGTAGGTGGTATGATGGTTAGGCGCTGAATCCCACAGGGCTGGCAACGGTTTGAGTCCTGAACCTGGTGGCTTAAAAATTATGCCAGGTGAGTGTATGTGCATTCCCCAAATTGCAAGGAGAAATGGAGGAGAAGGCATTGCAGCATAACTATACCCCCATTAGGAGATGGTTTTGAGGCAGGAGAAAGCTAGAAAAATGGAAGCAGGTAGCGGGGCTGGAGCATCTTTCTATGTGGCTAGATAGAAAAGCCAATTAGGGCAGAAAATTCCCTCCCAATATAATGTAGGCAAGAGACTAGCAGGGGATGTCTAGCTAATTAAGCCACACTTGATACAGCCAATGAGATGAATCAGTGGGCCCAGCCACATTTGATAGAGCCAATGAGATGAGAACAATCAATGGGCCTGCCAATGATCAACCAACATGACCTAGATTTAAAAATTATAAGCCTTGGGGACCACCAGGTGGCGTGATAGGGCACTGGACACTCCCACATGGCCAACCACGGTTCAAATCCTGGACCTGGTGGCTTGCTTTCTCAATTCTCTCTCTCTCTCTCTCTGTGTTTGTGTCTGGTCAGATTAAAATAAAGGAACGGTTAAATAAATAATTCTTTAAAAAAATTATAAGCATCAGGGCCAGCAGGTGGTATGGTTAAGGCACTGGACTCCCACATGACCAACCATGGTTTGAGCCCCAGACCTGGCAGCTTGCTTTCACACTTTCTCTCTCTTTCTGCTTCTCTCTGGTGAGCATACGTGCCCTATACCAAAATTTAAAATAATAATAATAATAAATAAAATTAAATATTTTTTAAAAATTATAAATCTCGCAGAATGTAAAGCTGGGGCCTTTTGAGCCACTCTGCTCAGATCTGTTCTTGCCTTTCAAGAGTATATTTTCACTCTTACTAATAAACTACCTTTTCTTTTCACTTTGTTCAAGTCTTTGTCTGAAACATCAAGAATCTGGATATCACTACAGAAGCCAACCTGCAAGTTTGCCCCTCTGTCTCTGTCTGACTAGCTCATGCACTCTCTTATCATTTAAATACATAAATAAAATATAAACATACAAAACATAAAGGAAAAAATGAGTGACTTTCTCTACACTAAAATTTGAATTTTCTTGGGCCAGTAGATGGTGTGGAGGTTAAGGTGGCTGGACCCTACATGGCTAACTGTGTAGTTTGTGTCCCAAACCTGGTAGTTTGAAAAACAGGTCAGGCATGTGGGAATGCATGCCCCAAATCCCGAGAGAATAGAGAGGGACTGCAGAGTGTCCATCCCTCTGGGGGTCTCTCTCTCTCTCTCTCCCCTCCAGTGGCTGCATGCACCTTATAGCAAAAATAAAATAAAGATAAAATGAGGGGCTGGCAGGTGGCATGGTGGTTAAGGGTACCGGACTCCCACATAGCCAACGATGGTTCGAGTTCCAAACTTGGCAGCTTGCTTTCTCCCTTTCTCTCTCTCGCTCTGTCCCTCTCTGGTCAAGTTAAAATAAATACATAAATAAGGGACCAGCAGTTAGTGTAATGGCTGTCACTGGACTCCCATGTAGTTCGAGTCCTAGACCTGGCAGCTTAAACTCACGCCGGGTGCTTGTGCATGTGTGCCCAAGATCCCAAGAGGAGAACGGAGGAGAAGGGATTGTGGCGTGGCCATCCCCCCTGGGTGTGTGTGTGTGTGTGTGTGTGATTTCTTGCTTTCTGTTTCTCTGTCTCTCTGTCTTTCTGGAGAATGCACGCGCCCTATAGCAAAAACCTCTCCAAAAAGAAAAAAAATATGTAAATAAATAAAGTTAAAAAAAATTTATTTAAATAAAAATAAAATCAAAAGTGTAGGGAGTATAGGAGAGAGAAAAATGTCTTCTCTTCATCCTTCTGGGTTCTTTGGCTGGGCTACAAATTAAACTGATATGACACAGATGAACAGGACATAAACCATATTTGATTACATAAGTATGCACAGGAAGTCCCACAAAACATGAGACTAAACAGGGGTCAGATGACTGAAGTTTATGCAGTGTCCTGAGCTACAGAATAAAATAATTTTTTTAATAATTATTTTATTTTTATTTATTCATTCATTTATTTTTTTTTTTTAATTTGACCATAGAGAGACAGAGGTTGAGAGTAAGAGAGAGAGGAAGTGAGAAAGCAAGCCACCAGATTCAGAACTTGAACCCTGGTCGGCCATGTGGGAGTGTCCATCGCCTTAATCACCATGCCACCTGCTGGTCCCAAGAATAAAATCATTTTTCAGAAATACTCCTGTGTCGGGACCAGCAGTTGGCGTAATGGCCATGTCGCTGGACTCCCGGTGGCTTAAATCTCACGCCGGGTGCGTGTGCGTGCGTGCCTAAGATCCTGAGAGGAGAATGGAGGAGAAGGGATTGTGGCGTGGCCATCCCCCCTGGGGGGTGATTTTTCGCTTTCTGTCTCTCTGTCTCTGTCTTTCTGGCGAGCGCACGCGCCCTAT